CCTGGAAATTCTGAAAGGCTGCTTCTGGCAGAGGAGTAATTACAATGCCCACAGCCATCTCACCTCACGCTGGGATCCCGCGCAACATAACAAGCAATGGATATGCTGTCCTTCCTGCTGGTTTTCAACAAGCTCCCAGGGAAAGTGGTGCCAAGGCGAGTGGGAGAAATACTGGACAGTAGTGGATTGTTTGATAAATTTTATCCTGGATTCAGCCACAGCAATGCTACTGAGGCTGCCCTTGTCAAAGTCATAAATGGTTTGAATGCCACTGCTGAAAAGGAAGCCTGGCCTTGTTTGTACTATCAGATCTAGCCGTGGGGGGGGTTGTTCTGTAAAAGGCTGGATTCTGTTGCAGTGCCTAGGTGACTGCTTAGTGTAGACTGAGAATGCGTTGAAATCGTTCCAGCGGTACTTGATTGCTTTCCCCAATCAACAGAGTAGGATAAATTCTCCTCGAGAGCAGCCAGTTTCACATAATGACACTTGATCCCAGGGAGAATTCACCAGTGGCCTGACTTAGTTGGCTCTAATGCTTTACACTCTTTCTCTTGCCATTCAGAGAGATATATGAGAGGCATTAGAGCAGTGTATTAGAACTCCTTTTTGGCTTTGTTGAAGAGGACTATATTTCTAAAAGTACCAACAATCATATATTCAGAAACAAAAGACTTTCTTGTGCAGTTTAATAGAGATAAAACATTTGTTTCTACCTGTTAATTTGAAGTCAGACTTCTTTTTAATTTTTTTTTAACAAGAGGTCTGAATTCTGTTTGTAAATCTGGAGTGAAAGTTATGATGCCTATAGATATATATAGTTGCAACTAACTTAAGAGGAGAATCTGACTCAATTGTCTGAAAACCAGAAGTCACTGAATAAGTTTTCTTATGACTTCAGTTTATATTCATAAAGAGTATCCAGTGCTGCTTCTGCTGCTCACAGGCACTCCAGTTCAACCAGTAGCCTGGTACCAGAAATTGTTTTATTCTCTTGGTTCTCTGGCTGTGGCAAGGATGTGATCTGCAGGGGAGTTAAAATTTTTTCCTGTTCTCTCATTTCTCAGGCTATAGTAAGGCTGTGATCTGCAGGGGGATTGCAAAGCAGAGACCAAAGACCTGAAAAGGGTTTAGCCACAGATCTTTTTGAATCTCATCAGTGGGAAAACACATTTGCTTTTCCTCAAGATGCCTCTCTTCAATAACATATAGTATCTGAAATTAGCATCCAGTGACATTACCTGTAAAGTCTCCAGTCTGAGATTATCACCAACATAACTAAATAGGTCAAGCTGCAGAGGAGGTTTGCATAGACCTTCATGTTTGTAGCAGACATGAATTCTTGGTCACTGTAACTTCAGAGTCTGTAAAATCAGGATATGACTAACAAACTTCATAGATAAAAAATGTGCAGTATGAAAAAGAGCTATCCAGAATAATTAATTTATGCATCAGTTTTCTCATGTGTCTGCATATATCCGTGAGCTCAGGCAACGTCTTACCTTCAAGGAGCCCACAAAATAGGGTGCTTTTCTTATTTTTTTACTTCATGACATAATAATTTAAACTAGTACACTGAATTTAAAAAGGTAGATTATGTTCATGGGCAGTGGGAACCTAAACAAAACTGAACTTGAAACATTTAACTCTCATAAAAAACCCTAGAAAATAATTAAATTAAGCATCCCTTTTTGTTACTAAAATGATACAAAAACATACATTGATTCTATTGGATATTTTAGCTTCCCATTTTCACCTAACATGCACATTAGTTATCTGAATAGAAAGGTCATTAACATGTAGCAATAAATTGAAGAGTAGTATTTCATAGGTGGCATAAAGACACCAGAATTTGACTTGGCATGTTTATTAACACTACTGAACAAGTTCTGTTTAAGAAGCTAATAAAAATGATACCCTATCCATTTTTTCCCAATGCATCTTAATTTCTGTTAGGCATGCCCTGATTTTTAAATCAATCTTGTATTTTGCCTATGGAAATACCTAAATGTTCACATGGAGAATATATTTATGCTTTGCTTTAAAATGGCATTTTAATAGCTTCTTTTTTTATATTAGATTTTGCCAGCAGCTTAGTACAAACCAATGGCTTCAGTTTTTGTCTTAGGCTTAACCATCCCATAGCAAGGCCCTCAATGCAAGTCTTCTTGGTCCAGGAATGTTCATGTATCCTGCTAATACCTTCATTGCTAATCATAACTCAGGAAAATAAATCCTGCTGCAAGTTGAAAACCATTTTACAATTAACGTATAAATAAGTCAACCATAATTACATTGTGTTATCTCACTTTGTTTTTACAGCCTCTTACCATGCTTCAGACAAGAAAATTAGGCATATAGTGCTGGGTGATATATAGGAGGAACACTGGAGAGGATGTATTTTTATGACCTGAGTCTGACAGGCTCATGTAAAAGTTCATCACTTTCATCACTTCAGAGAGATGAGACTTGGTTTGTTCTACTTGGCTTTGTTTTTTGAGTTTTCACAGTAAACCATCTTCCCTAGGTCATTGCACAAGACAAAGAGAGACAGAACTTAACATTTTTTTTAAAATGCATTCACTGTTTCTGAAGGCATAGCTATTTTTTTGCATCGAGCTAAGACTGTTTCAATGTGTAATATTTTATAACTGACCAAGACCAGTTTCAGATCATTCTTCTTATTAAGAATGTCTTCTGGGACATAGGAAGTATTTGCATTGGCAGTAGATTACAAGAGACTAGGACACAAATCTGTCTAGTTCCCTTTCTGACCTAATGGGTAGAGTAAGCTGGGGTGAAATTTCACTCTGTAGGAGAATATTTAAAAGAGAGTTGGAACAAAGGAACTACTTTTCATATCTACAAGGTCTTTAGGACAGAAATCATTCTTTGAATTTCATTTCTATCTAGTCATATTTAGCCTTTTTTCTTTTCAAAATAAGGTTGAATAACTTCCTCTGATGCAAATAACTGTCCTTAAAACTGTGTGCACATAAGTAGAAAGAAACAGACTAAGGAAATCCCCTGTTCAAATATTATGTTCTTGAGGAGGTTGTATGGCTGCCTTCTTCTGTCAAGAGGTTCCCCCATGCTCCCACTTACCTCAGTTATGGATCTGAGCATGTTCTTACTGCTATCAGCACCAATGTTTTACTCATTCATTCCACTTCACGTTTTAGATCTGCATATTCTGTGACTGACACAAAACATTTTGTTGAATACATGTGCTCAGAAATCCCACTTTCAAGAAAAAAATGTTAGGAATATGAATTTTTTTGGCTGGAATAGTCTCAAGGCCTTTACTGCCTCGAGGCCTTTTCTGCCTCTCACCCCACACCTCCAAGAGGGAGGCTGGGGTTGCACAAGGAGTTGGGAGGGGACACAGCTGGGACAGCTGACCCCTGCTGACCACCCCATGGTGTCATGCTTGGTATATAAAGCTGAGAGAAGAAGGAGGAAGGGGTGAATATTTGGAGTGATGGCATTTGTCTGCCAAAGTCCCTGTTAATCACATTGAAACCCTGCTTTCTCATGTGATGGCTAAACACCTGCCTGCCCATGGGAAGCAGTGGATTAATTCCTTGTTGTACTTTGATTTATCTGTTAGTCTGTCTTTATCTAAACGTGCAAGTTTTCTTACTTTTACTCTTCCACACTTTTAGTCTTCTGATTCTCTCTCCCATCCCACTAGAGGGAAGTGAGTGAGTGAGTGTGTGTAGCTGAGCTGCCTATTCGAGTTAACATACAACAGATTGCTGAATGGCAATAATAACATAACGTTTACAACACCAAGCTCTTAAAAGCATGAGTAGTAAAAACATTAGAATTCATACTCCAAATACTCAGGAATATCTTGTTTTCTTGAAATGAGGACAAGGGAATGACACTCTAACTGATACTAAGAAAACTTTTTTGCAAGTCAGAACTTCCCTCTCTGAGACAAGGATGTCATAACCACAGTATAAGCTAAGAAGAACCAGGACATATTTTAACTAAGTAGAGGAAGGTCACCTCCCACATATATGAGACAGGAAGAATCTGCAGGGTCAGGAAATGTGAAGACTTTTATGAGAGGCAATGACCAAATATGCAAGGTTATGGTCTGAAATGACACAGCAAATGGCTCTTCTCCACAGTGACTTATAAATGTGCCATAGGGAGATCTTGTGGGAGGAGATGAAGAAATTAGCTCCAGCCATGAGGAGCTCACTGACACAGTGACAAGGAGACGTCAGTTTGTTTCCAGTTTGAATTAGAGTGGATAAATCTGTTTAAAAATGCACTTGTGAATTTCAGGAGAGAAACAAGTTGAATTTGTGTCCTGCAGCCAGTAGGTCAAGTAGGTTAAGGAAGGGTTGGAATCTCCCAGATCTATTTGAGGAGAAATCAATGGAGAAATTGGCATGAGGAATACCAGTGGAATTGCATCAGGTGGCCCAGCACTGAGTCAGAGATGAACTCCAGGAAGCAAAAGTAAACAGTACTCAGTATGCTTACACATAAGAGGGACAAGAGCGAGATGTAGCTGTGGAGGCAAGCAGGTTCAGTGTGTGTTTTCAAAGTGGAGAGATTAAACACACACTTGTTTTGAGAGGAAGAAGAAGCCAAGGCAAATAACAATGTACACAGAGGAATAGAAAAAAAGGTAAGCAAGCCACCAGGAAGAGGAGAAGACAGAATATCTTTTTCTGCTCAACACATGTATCCATTTTTCAGATCAGAATTGCACTAATTTGGGAAGCAGTTTATATAATCCATAAAAATGCATTTTATTAGCCTTTCTTTACTTGAATCACTGACTTCTAAAGAACGAGAACAGCCATAAATGCTATTGTCTCCACAGGCAGAAATTTGAAAATAGAAGATGCATGGTTACACGATAAGTGTATTTTCTTCATAAAAGATGTTTGTAAATCAGGTTTAAAATAAGGGAAAAAATAACCTTAAAATATTCTGCACTTCAGAAAATAATAAAATGTCTTCTTATTTTCCCCTGGTAGACCACGCAATGCAGATTACTTTATGCAGGAAGCTAAACGGAAGAAGCATAAAGCAGATGCAATGGTGAGAACATTTTCTTTCCAGTTACATTGCTCCAAATAATTTTTGTAATGCAGTTTCTTCATCAGCACAGTATTGCTGGGGTAATTATAAAATCTATTATAAGGATGGCTAGGCTTGTTAAATTAAGAAATGTTTATATAATCAAATGTTCATAGCCCAGTAAACTATGACTTAACAAATAATGACTTACTGAGATAAAGGCCTGGCTAAATAAAACTTTCCATTTATCCCTTTGCTTTAATTAGTAACTATAGTAATGGAGGCTGCGTAAAAGATCCACATACCTATCTTGTCAGCTTAACTAGCTGGCTAGATCCTATAATAGCATCTCCATCCAAATTTGGTCTGATAGCTGAGGTACTTTCACTTTTTTTTAAAGAGCTTTGGCTTTTCAGTGCCAAAAGAATCCTGGTTTTGTGGCAGATGTTTCCCAACATAATCAGAAGCACACAAAGAATTTTTGTAACTCTAGAGGAACACCTAGCACACAGAATACTGTTGCAACAAACAGATTCTTCAGCCTGGCTTTGACCTGTCTAAAAATGTAGCCAGAAAGAAAAAGGGGAATCTGAGGTTATATGGAGCACTGAAGAAATGCTTGTCTTTCCAAACAAATGGGTGCAAAATATGCAGCTCTGCTCTGCAGCAGAGCTGTGCTTAGCTGTCCCTCAGTTCTCTGCAAGGCTTTGTTTGACAAGTGCCACAGATAAGCCAGAGCAACATGAGGTCTTTGAGATGGCAGTATATGGAATGGGACCCTGCATTAGGGTGGCTGCATTGCTGGTGAGGGTAACTGCATTCCTGTCTTGCCCTGTCAGACAGACAATTTGTTGTAATACCATCAGGAAAGAAGAAAGGTTTTTCTCAGCTGTGCAGAATGTAGAGAGGCCAAGGAAGTAGAAACAGGTCCTTAATTTAGAACACTAACACAGAGTTTTACACTCTACCTGAGTTTATTAGCACAAATTTCTGTGGTTTATTCAGTTACATATTACTCTAAAGTGAGTCTTAAAATCAGAAAATATTGTGGAGAAGTACAAATGGTGAATTTTAGTGTGTTGCTTTAAACAGAATGGAAAGGATCACTTAATATGCAAAGGAAATTGTTAGCCTGGAGAGAAATGTTTTTATGGTAGACTCCCAGAAAGCGGAGTTGCAAGCATTATTCTGTGCTGTGCCACAAGTTTGCTTCATGAAAGTCACCTAGGCACAGTTTAAATAGCTTTCTATCAGTATCAGGTGATTGAAATATCCTCCACATTCAGCTTCCCTTCACAGTGGACCAGCAGCTTACTTACACCTTGTAAACAGCCCTTCGCAGGTGCTTCCTCTCCCTCCCTGGCTGTGTAGGCATCCTGGGGAAAATGCCATATTGCCAAAGTGCCTCCAGGCACTTTGAATCACTTTGCTGGGCTCAGCACCTCCTACTTTGGCACTGCACTACCTGACACAGGCACTCACAGTGAGCAGCTTGAAAATTACTCTAGGTCTCTCTGCTCCTCAGTCCCCCATCTGTGAAATTGGGATAATAGCACTTCCACCCGCACTGGAGCATCAGGGGGAGAAATATAATAAAAAGTTTGTGAAGTTCTCTGGTATGATCGCAGTGGGAGTCATATAAGAACCTAAAATAGATTGAAGCTAGTGTGCCATTCCAAAGTTACTATTTAAAATCTTTATCCCTTAGAAAAGAATAAGGTCCATTAACCTTTCACTGTGTGCATCAGATTTCAACCAAATGCATCCAGTCCATTAATGGGCTTTATGTACCGCAGGAGTTCTGACTGAAGGAGAGAGAAGTCAGGACAGAGAGGTATTAGTATGATTCATCTCTCTCTTCACATGAAAAATTAAATTTTGAGGGCAGATAAGTGGCATGTAAGTGTACACATATGAATATTAGATGCAGATTTGCATGTACAGTGTTACTGAGGACATCCATGTATAGGCACATAAGTGCACAAATACACACACAAAGTAAAAGAAGTACCAAAAATAGGAGAAGAAAAAGGTTAAGGAAGGAGGATGGCAGAAGATGCTGAGGCTGCAGAGCAGTCCCTGAAAGAGGAGAAGGATATAGAAAGCAAATTCCTGACAAGAAGAGAACAATGCTGAAAATGGTAAGGATAAAAAAGACAGGAGAACAGAGATGAGCCTTTGTATAGGAGTTAGTAGTCAAAGCATTTAATTCTCATCTCTTAGTTCACGATATCTGTTACCATTCTTTGTTGAATGATAAAAAACTACACTTACAAAGATGTGTGAAACCCTTTTTAATGAAAGATGAAAGCTGGAACAAAAGGCAGCATGAGTTTGTGGAATTTCCAGCACTGGAAGAGCTTTAACAAACACTGTTGGGAATGTCCTAGGCACAGCTGACCCTTCTTTGGACACAAGACTATGGAACAAATCATATCTCAGACCCTTTTCTAGTTCTATTTTCTGTATCTTATGATTTTCACTGATGCACAGGGTTTGATGGGTACCTGAAGATAAACTTGTGTCAAGTTTACAATATTTGTTGAGAAAATCCCATCAAATGTAACAACATCTTGATGATTACACTACATCTCTGTGTCCTTATTTTTTCTCTCTAGGTGGAGAAGTTTGGAAAGGCACTGAATTATGCAGAAGCAGCACTATCATTTATTGAGTGTGGAAATGCAATGGAACAAGGCCCAATGGAATCTAAATCCCCTTATACCATGTATTCAGAAACAGTTGAACTCATCAGGTAGGAAAGGAAGGAGATGACCCCAGAGGTTGCACTGTGCAAACACGATCATCTGCATTATCACCTATTTTCATACATGCAGTAAAAGGGTAGAAGTTAACTCCTTACAAGGGCCTGGTTATTCATATGTAATGTATATGTATTATCTGTGATTTCTTTGGAAATTAAATCAAGAAACTGAAGAATGAAAAAAAAGAAAAAATTAAAAGAAATAAACAAAAACACAAACAAAAAAACCCAAATATTTTCCTATTACTTGAGTTGCAAATTACTTCAAGAGTTTCATGATGTAAGTCCTGAGCTACTCAGTGGAAGAAACCAGTAATCCATAATAACAAAACATTTCATAGAGTGATAACTTGAAAATATTGCAACATGTGTATGATTGCTGTGTAAAGATAACCTGAAAGAAGATGTAAACAGTGATAGAAAAATGGACACTCAAAGTCCATTTGATGTGAGTGCTCTAATTTAGTCAGTGAAGTCAGGAGCACAGCTCACCCCAGAGCTACCCCTACCTTTAGCTACCTTCATGGCTCTGCAAACAGGGTAGTCTAGAATCCAGTGCCATCCACAGTCCCTCTGAAGTAAGTATGTCTCTTAAGTCCTTTTCACCATTATAGCTAGTACCTAAAATTGATGTTATTGGCAGTGTTATTGGTAGAGAAAACCATTGCAGCAGCTGAGGGACTGTGCAAGAGAGCAACCCCAGACACACTAGTGAAGAAATCTGCACTGACAGTGACCATGGTATCATTCCTTAGGACAGTCAACCATGCAGTTCTACCCAGTGAGGATTAAACTCATAGGAGGTAACACATTTTCTTTTTTAATCATATCCATAGTGAATCAGAGCTTCTAAAACAAAAGCATTCTTTTGGACTTAGTGTTGATGTGAAGATTTTCTTGCATGTTAATAATTCCACTGGCATTTTATTCCACTTAGGGCTGTCTTCTCATGCATTTCAGTGGATTGAGGCCAGCTTTCTAACTGGAAGGTTATTGAACAAAATCAAATACTCAAATACTTTTTTTTTCTGTTACAGAATAGTACATTCCATCTCTGCAATTTTTTTCCTTCTTTTTTTTTTTCCATCTATGTAATTTATGTAATTCCTCCCTTCTTTTTTTTTTTTTTTTCCCAAAAAGGCAAAAACCTCTTTTTTGTCTGCCCTGTCTTTTCTCATGGTAGTAAATATATGGTCCTAACTCTGGAATTGAATTTGCTTGCAGGTGCATAGCTTTCAATAATGTGTATAGCTGTGGCTATGTTGTAATGTGAATTGCTGTTGATCTCTCTGCAACTCAGAAAAATAAGTGGTTTGCTAGGTATGCCTGTAGAAACAAAATGTTCATACAGAATCTTTTCACAGATATCAGAATTAGAGTTTGAAAGCAAAGGTAAGAAAAAATCACAAGCCGCTAATTATGGGGAACAGGTATTTTTCTGGAAGTGAGCCCAGAAGCGCTGTATGTTGTTCTAACCTTGTCTGTTGTTCAGGTATTCAGCTGGAAGCTGAGATTTCCAGAAACCAATTTGTGTTTGCATAGCACATACACTCTTGAAACACCAGTGCTACCTCTGTGGATCTTTAATATTTATAGAGTTTGAATGTAATGTCATGTGAGCAAAAATAGCTCTGAGCCACATGTTCCCCCTCTGCTGTGCTGTGCTCGGAGGAGCAAATCTAGGTAGACACACTCAGAACTGGCAGGGTGAGGTCAGCACCAGCTTCCAGGCAGGCTGTCTGCCTTCAAAAGCTCCAAACCCCTTTCTGCACGAACTCTGTGTAACTGGGTCTCTGCAGCAGCAGAGGTTATTTTGGCAGGACAGTGTCACCTCGCCAGCTAGGCTCCCCTCAGGACTGATGGATGATCAAGGGAGTTCACGGCTGTTTAAAGAGTGCAGGGATGCACTGCTAATGGCAAAACAGCTCTGAAACACAACTAGGAACAACACATGTATGGCTGGTAACTTGAACAAATATGTATAAAGGACCAGATCAAGCGACATTGGCCAGCATAGCTCTCTGATCAGTAATACAAAGCTGTCTCAGTTAACTCATGTTGGCTTTTTTCTTCTTGCTTAAGGTATGCAGTGAGACTAAAAACCCACTCAGGCCCCAATGCCACGCCAGAAGACAAACAGCTGGCAGCATTATGGTTAGTAGATCAAGCTTTCCTCAAAAGCCTTCTTTTCTGCAGTGAGCCAGTTCTTGAAAATCGGATGTTGGATGCAGCAAGATAGAATTATGTTCTCTATTAAAATTAAGAGAATACTTTCTTCTCTGGGAAGGTCCAGCCCTTGAATCACTGTACCAAGTCTGCATTCTGTCTCTGTAAATAAGCAATTCATACTTATTTATTAATTATGACAGGTTGGCTATGGTATATCAGTATAATTAATTTTTAAATGCCTGATGGTTTGTTGTTTTTATGAGTGATGCACTTTTGTACCAACAGCTCGGTAAGTTCTTTTGTGGCTGACATTTTAGGCTCAATAATCGTAAATTATATTTATGTTATATGAAGGGTAACATTGTGATGGGGATAATTAAGCCTCATGGATTATCTATTAAATTGAGATTTCTAAACATATATGTAAGCACCTTAGATTCTATATGAGAGTTTTTGATTGCTAGTAAAATACTAGAATGTTATTAAAATCAAGTTTTAATTTAATATCATTGTAGTTAATACATAAAATACCTATTACATGGTTACTGAGTCACAGTAAGTGGACATTTACAATCAGCAAGTGTGTTTTTAACATCTATTAACCATCTGTTAAAAATCCAAATTAAATGCATCTTTAGCCTCCATAAAGAAGGAGTCCTAATTAATCATTTGTATAAAAAGGAACAAAATACTCAGAGATGCATTTTTTTTATTGCCCTTTCTCTGTCACTGGTTTTCTGTTCCATTGGGAGGCCCACAGAATGCATTAGTGGCAATTGCTTTAAAAATGCTTAGGTGGGAAAATGACTAAAGAACGGTTTAAAAAGGACATTTAAAGCCATATTACAAAGGCTTGCTGAGAACTGCCGGAGCGCTTTGGTGCGTGCAGAAGCACATCCAAATTCAGGGAGCCGCTGCATCTGTTCCAGCAGGAGAAAGGTCAGCGCGAGGGAAAGCAGACGGAGCCTTCTCTGGGCAATGAATGGCAATCCTAACTCACCGTCTGCCAGCCAGCAGATGAGCTGACCCCATTTGCATATGCGCTGTACCTGTGAAGGTGACAGAGGGAGAGTGATGGTGGTGGCAGCGCGGCCGCCGCATCCCGCGGCTGCTCCCGGCGCCCGCCGGGCAGGCTGCCAGCCCGCCGCTCCCGGCCCGCTTCTCCTGGGGAGACACTGTCCTCCAGCGGCCACGGCCGGCATTCCAGCTGCCTCGGCAGCCCTGCCTGCCATTGGCTTTCCTCAGACTATTTGCTAGTTCGAGGCGTTCGCTGAGATGTGGGCAGATCTTGGGCGCGGGGAGATGGGGAGCACTCTGCACTTCCAAACTCAAGGCACTTCCTGGTGCTCCGGATTGGCTCCAAGACTAAATACTGCTTTTAAAAACGAGGCCTCTGCTGCCAAACAAAAAGCAAAACATACGGGGATTTTGCTTTTAAAGCAGTATTACTGTGGGGCACTTTCACACTTGCCCCAGTTTTCACACTTTTTCAATCCAAGAACCTTGCTGGGTAGAGATGGTGGTGATTCTCAATTCAGAAAACAGACAGGTACACCTAACACCAGTAGCAAAGAAAAGTGTATGTGTCCTGAATACTGACTGTTGTGGTACATTACTATAGTCAATAGTCATTACTCTCATTTAATTATGTAGCTTTAAAGATGTGTGGCACTCTGCAGACTAAAAAGGAGCACAGAGGCAGACAGTACCAGTACAGCACATTTTGTTTTTCAACCCACTGCCTGATTTACTTTGGGGACCAAATTAGGCAAGTAGCCTGGGAGTAGCCTCCAGGCTCCAGCACTGTTCTGGTTTCCTACAGAGAAGCTTGGCCACTGAAATCTGTGCCAGATCCAAGGTTTCCCTTTATCCCAGCCATCTCCTGCTGCTGGAAGAGACCACTGGATGTATACAAAATACATCCACTATGACTCGAGTTCACTATATCCAGGCTATTGCAATAAAGTCCAAATATGTCTCAAAAAATTGTTTATGCATTTGCAAGTAAATTTTTTTTTAAATGTGTATGTTGAGTTCCAGGATGTCTCTTTTCATGGGAGAGGCTTTTGATCAAGTGTGCAGACTTCAAGCCAGAATGAAGGCCTGGGAGCCCAGACCCTTCTGAGTATGGTTTGTCTAGTACCTCACTGTAGCATTTGTCAGTATGACCTGCCCTGGCTGTAGTACCTAGCTCTGCTCATGAATCCATGTCAGAGTGTGAAGAACTGCCGACAAATGGTGATAAAAACTGTAAGCAAGGTGCTGTCAGCCTTCCACTCTGTATCAGTTTGAGGATTTAAGATATTCATTGGGATTTCTATTCAGGAGTCACCCTTTACTTTCTGCTCTCACTTATATTCCAGTTACCGCTGCCTGGCCCTTCTGTACTGGAGGATGTTCCGACTCAAGAGAGACCACGCGGTCAAGTATTCAAAAGCGCTTATTGAGTATTTCAAGGTGCATTATTTATGGCATGTTTTTAGATCGGTGTGCCTTTACAGGAGATACAGCATCTTACTAGATCAGTAGTTGTGCTGGGATTAGTTTTTCCCCTGTGAAGTCAATGATGTTTTACCACAGACATCTGAGCTCTAGTTAGTTCAGTTATCTTCACAAGGGTCCCTCTTTGAAAAATACACACTGTGACCCTTCACAAAGGATGATAAATGTGTAGTACTAACAAACAGGTATTTTCAGATTATTCTTGGTCCATTGCCTAGTGCTATCCAGCTCTGTTGTGAATAAGTTTTGCAGATTTTGCTCTAAGAATCCCCTTTGGGATTACACTTCCCACGAGTTGAAGACTTTGATCTAGATTAGTCCTCAGATGCAGGCCTTCCACTCAGCAGCACCAGTAGTAGTGCAGTGGGACATCTTACCCAGGGTACTGTCAGACAGCCCACACTGAGTTCAGGAGGAATTGTACAGAAACATTAGAGGGCAGACAGACCTCCTGCCATGTATTTGACATGGCACTCTTGGCTTCCCCTTCCTGCTTTGCTTCACCTGTTACTGCTTCAATTTTTAATTTCTGACAAAGTGAAACTTCTTGCAGTCAATCCATCCAGCATGTGATGTACAAGCACAAAAAATAGCCATTATCTTCCTAAATGTAAAAAAAAAAAAAAAAATGAATATACAAATGTTCTAAGACAAACTGCTTTGTGGGACCTGAACAACCATTTGTCTCTGAACACAGGGCTCATCTGCTGGGTTTTTTTGTGAACAGAATAACCTTGAAATGGAAAAAAAATCCATCCTTTGACATTTTGTTAATAAAAAAATTCAAATACAAGCACGAATGCTTATGACCAAATTCTGAACACTTGAAGACAGGGATGGGAATTAACAGATCTGTTATTGTAAAATGGATATTGAAGTCAATGTAATTGCTTCAAAAGTTTAGCAGTATATAGTTCAACACGTTATGTTTCTCTAACAACTACTTGATTCCAGGGGAAAGAAATATGTGCCTATTGAAGTACTTTATTTTTCTTGACCAGTTCAGAGAATAGCTGTATTAAGAACAGCTCTCAACCATGTAAAATGTCTCCTGCTAGCAGACGGAGACTGCTTCACAGGAAACATAAAATGGACTTAAACTCTACTGTAGCCAAGAAGAGTTTGTTTCTTTGCAGAGCTCCTGCTGACACAGTGATAGCATTGCATCACATTAGAAAGGATTCTCACCTTTAAGAGCAAAAATGGAAAAAAACATCCATTTGCTATAATTTTCAATGGAAAGCAAGCCAATTATTCACTCCTTTCATATTTGGTATCTAAAAGCTTTCAAAACCAAGTGACATGAAATGCTGACTGCATTAAGAACTTCCTCATATTATCAATCAGGGAAGGATTTTAAATCACACATTTGCAAGGAAAATTAGACATACTTTTCTTTTAGATTCTTTAAATCTCCTTTAGGTGTTTTATTTCCATTACAGAAAAAAAATGCAGCAGAGAATTAAAAAGAAGGCACAGATATTCAGGGGCACATATGAGAGAACAAAGAAAGCAGGAGAATAGGTTGCAGCAGGGAAAGTGGGATAAGAGGTGGTCCCTTACAACATTATACTCTTTAGAATCCTTACCCCTACCATTCTGGTGCAGAACTGAGAGGAAACTGAAGCAATATACCTAAAACATGAGAAAAAAGGTGTGTGGGAAGTTGTAGAGTAAGGCAGAGTTTGGTTACATTTACAGTGGAAGTATCCACTGTAATGTGGATAAATGTACTCCAGTTTTCAAATTTTCCTGCTTCCAACTCTGTAAGTAAACAACAGGCACTCCATTTCCATTACACTAGAAAGATGAAGACAAGTAGCTCTGAGATAGATCAGAAAAGAAAAGGGGAAAAAAAATCTATTCTGTAGCAGAATCAAATGCTGAAGATTCCCAGGTTGGTTTCATTTAAAAGAGTACATGAGAAATTTTTCATCTTATCACACTTTAGCTTTTCCTGTCAAAAGAAAAAAAAAAAAAAAGAAGAAGAAAACCCTCTGAAGGAAGAACCCTTGTGGGATACTCCAAAGCTTATTTTTCATGTCACATACCTGGGACATAGAAGACCCAATGTCAAAATGCAGGAAGAATGACAAGGTACACACAGCACTGGCATGATCACTGCTAAATACAGCCAGTGTTGGGGTGCACATAAAAGATGTGAAAACCTGTCAATACCACAGAAACCCAAGAGGCAGTTCAGAAGATACATTACAACTGGGAAAATAAAGTTTTTTAAAGAGAGGGTTAGGGAATGTGTCCAGTTTAGTGCTGAATGGGTAAAGAGATCATTGGAAACAGAGCTGAAAATTTTCAAATTACATGCGGTTTTGCTGGCTTTGGACCAACAAAATCCAAAATATAGCACTTTCAATATTGAAACTGTGAAACAGCATTTTTTTCCTAATTGTGAGGCCTGCTAAACATAGAACAGGACACAGAAGAACAAGGAGGATAAATAGTGTCTAAGAATTTCTATATGGCTATCTGTCCTTTTTAGAAGGAATAAAATAAAATACATTTCTTAAGTAATTTATCTTTTCTTAGAAGTGGCATGATTGGTGGAAAACAGACATTGCAGATTGTGTGCACTGCAGGATTACTTCTGGCCTTGAAATCAATGAACATTTGAAGCCCCTTGTTTACCATTTTCCTTCCTAAGCCATGAGAGACCAAGAGGTTTTGTACTGCTGATACTGCTTGTAACTCCTGCAGTTTACACCTACAGCCTTGCATTTAAAGCAGTATCCATAAACAGATCTCATGCTGCAGGACATGGAAGTCAGGAAGAGAGGGCTGTTCTCCAGCACACAATTACTTGCAGGTTCAGCTTCAGGGGAGAGCACAAGGAGGTTACTTTCCTCTGAAGGATCAGGCTGACCATTGCTGAATGTGAGGCCATGGATAGGATGGACTAGAAAACTTATTTTTTAGACTTCTTTCTCACAGGCCTAGGACTAAATCAGTCACTTGGGATAGAGATGGAGTTTTCCTCAGGTCAAATGGTCAGGAACCAGTGACTGAATTCCCTCCAGCTACCGGGGTTTTAACTGCTAAAATAATTTTAAAATTATAAAATCATTTATCCAGTCTCCATTACTGCTGACATCTGAATTTCTCCTGCTTTGTAAATACAGTGCTTGTACAAGGTAGTCTCTCCTCAAGTAATGAAATTCTTTAGCCTAAGCACAGTATACCAGAGAGCATCTTAGTGACTCCATGTATACAAGAGACCACACTAAATGATCAAATGGCCCCTTCTGAGGTTCTCTGGGAAATGCTCCAACTATGAAAATGACCAATCTACATGGGCAGTCTCTCTGACCTTGTGAATGCTGCCATGTTTGGACCAAGGGGAACAGCTCCATAAGGAGCAATCATGAGCAGGATTTTTGAGCCTGGTGGTTAAAACACCCACCTGAGCTGCAGATCCTCAGATTTACATCCCTATGGATGCTAGGCTGAGCAGATTTCCACAGTCTTGCAAGTCCTAGGGGAATGACATTGTCACTGGGAGCAGGAGAGTGGGAGGAAATCTTTCTGATTTTCTTCATCACAAGAAATTCCAACCTAAACTTCACAAAGACTCCTGCAGCACTTTTTTTTTTTTCCTGAATTCCCAGGACTTCTGTGAAAAGTTTCCATTTCACCTAATGTTTTTTTAATCAGCCCCTATGCCAGGGTGTTGAAAAGACTATGTTTCAACTCTGTTCTGCAGCCCTGCTTCATCATAACATCAAACTAGGCTGACTGGGCTTATTACTTCATGAGATGCAATTCCATCACTTTCCTTACATTTCTATACTTTTATATTCTTTAATGTTTTCATTTTGTAGTATTATATAACTTATATGCATTGTGAATTACTCTTTCCTTTCCAGAATTCATCAAAAACTCACCAGAATCCATCTCCTTGGGGTGCCAGTGGAAAGTAAGTTGCACAGAAATTTATATCAGATTGGCAGTTAGAAAGCATATATTTTTACCTGTGGTATGTTCGGATACTCTTGTGTTTTTAACCCCAAACTTTTTAAATAACTGTATTAACACTGGTTTCTAGGAGCACAGGAACTCCATCACCTATGTCCCCTAGCCCTTCTCCAGTCAGTTCTGTAGGATCCCAGGGGAGCACGGGGGCCCCTTCCCCATCTCCTATCATCACCATCCCACAGCGCATTCATCAGATGGCCGCCAACCACGTCAGCATCACCAACAGCATCCTGCACAGCTATGACTACTGGGAGATGGCTGACAACCTGGCCAAGGAAAACAGAGGTGAGCAAGGCAAGGCAATGGACTATTCTAGAAGACCGTTGCATGATTTGGATCAGGAAAATAACTATTTTGATATGAAAGCTATCTGCAGAGATTATTTCTTTCTTCAGTCTGCTCCTAGTTTGTTCCAGAACAGCCAAAAAAGGCAATTTTGATATCTGTCTCACTCAGGAGAGCTGAGCCAGGACATGACAGACAGGTCACAGATTTGGCTGTGAGTAGCACTTCCTGCCATCTGTGCATTCTAGAGAGAAAGGTTTGTGGGAGGTAAGACAGCTTCCTGCCCCCAGAGTCATGGAGCTGCATGGGATGTGTTTAGTCAGACCACATCAAAAAGCAGGAGCACGCCTCCTTTCTGCAGAAGGAATGAACAGCCCCTAGCCCTTCCCCATCCATAGGATCTGTAGACACAGATTGGAACAAGGTGCCTGCAGCAAACTTCTTTCAGGTGAACTGGTTCCCACAAGAAAATGCTTTAGCATCTGACTTGATGGTGAAGTATTCCTTAGTTTTCAGGCTAATTTGTGCATTTAAGGCAGGGACATGGGCAAGATCCAAGTCAAAACAAGGGTACCTAAGTGAAGGTATGTAGATATGAGTTGGGGTCTCATCTCCCATTGCAACTGATGGAGCTTTGTTCAATACAAACAGCAGTTCAGAGTGCTGTTTATTCAACCCTGAAAGGGAGACAGGGATACAATTCACTGAGATATTTTTACCTAAACTGCCACTCCAGAACTCTCCTGCACATCCAGTATTAGATCTGCCAGTCCAGGCTGTACATATCAACTCCCTGAGAGCATCTCAAATGGGCACTGCATGCCTCTGAGTAGACAACTGAATTGCCCCTGTCCATTGCACAGGGGTTAGAACTGGCTGATCTTTAAAGGTCCCTTCCAACCCAAACCATTCTATGCTTCTAACTCCTGACTGGCTAGTTAGCCAAATTACTCTGTAGGCTGGGTTGGCCGTGTTGTATAGGCCTCTATTTCTCTGTCATGGTAGCTTAAGTAAATAGCATATCACAAATGTGTCATTGGACACTTGTATGTGGGCTTTTTGATCTACTTGTCCTCAATCTCAGAATAAATCTTGCCCAGAGTCTGTTTGCTTTATCAAGACTCAATGGAAATTAATGAAAAGCTAAACTGAAGAACTCACTGCTTTGTTTGTTAAAAAGAAAATTGTTTTGCATCAGCCTGTAACATCATGAACCACAGGGCTTTAAAATTAATCTCACCAACACTAAACTTTCATTCCCATGTAATGTTCAGCCTGACTCAATTTGCAAGAAAATAAAATCTGTTAAAGGGTAACAAGTAACAAATAAAGATTCACTCTTCTGATGCTGAATTCCTGCAATTTTTTTTCCCCTGCAGATTTTTTTAACGACTTGGATGCATTGATGGGACCTATTACCTTGCACAGCAGTATGGAGCATTTAGTTCAGTACACTCAACAAGGACTTCACTGGGTGCGGAATAGTGCTCACTTGTCATAATGACTGTGTGCCATTCACATGGACAGTATCCCTTTCATGGATAATTCAGTTATTCTGGACACTGTGCTACAGAAATAGTCAGCTACAGCATTGATCCAAACAAAGGTGAATATTTCTTCAGTATTGAGCAAAATTCTTCTGAGTGTAGACATGTATGTGCACAGAGGTACAATATACAATAATGTCTCTTCAGAATGAATTGTTCTGTATCACTCTCCAAACATTTTCATACACTAGAAATACTATAAAGAACTGATCTTAATGCACAAACATACCCTTTCTATTCTTGTACTGAAAAACTCAGAAACCAAAATCTTATGGTTTGATTGAACCAAGTGCAATAAGCACAGATCCCTATTCAGGAAAGCTCACAATAAATTCTTAACTTTAAGCTTGTACTGAAATCCTCATGACTTCAGCAGAGCTTAAGCACATACACAAGAGCTTTCCTGAACTGGAATGAATGAGAGCAAATTGTAGACATGGAGAATTTTTACTGCGAGCATGGACACATCATGGAAGTTCCATATTAATGTGCCATCTCCCTGTTACTTCTCCACTGGAGCACAGAGAGGAGGTGTGTAATCTGCATTAAGTCGGAGAAAGACAGCATTCCTTCACGTGCAATAAGTTTCAACAAATTGCATGCATTTCTTTATCTCCTGTCTTTATAAATAACTCTATATCTCGTTCAGCTCCTCACCAACAGTGCAACCTACAGTATCAAGCAAAAGGAAGGCCTGAAAACAGATATGCTGCAGGAAAAACTTAAAAGAGATGGTGGGAAATTGCATTCTGTTACTGACAGTAAATAGATAAGGAAAAGATATGGCAAACATTATTCCCCTTAGGAAGGAAAATGTGTTCATTTCAACTGCACACACACACAGACAGATATTTATAACAGTTGTTGGCTTTGCATGGGAAGGCTTCATCCTGCAGATTTTGACTTTCATATCTTTTTCATCTAGCAGAAGCTTGCAACATTTTCTTCCAGGCTGTATGGGAGCATTACATGCAATTTCCTTTATCTAGGAAGCTGAGTTTGCTGCTCATCAGGCTAAGAACTGTTTCCTATCATAATCCTCTCACTCTTCACGCATAATCCTCAACTAGGCTTTAACGTTTCTTGATTTATGGGATGTTTTCAGTTCCCGTTGACAGGCTGTGTTTTTCATGCCAGAGAATTAATCCCACAATAATTGGAGTTTAATTTAGGTCAGATGAGGTCAAGGCCAGTTCATATTAACTGCGCTTGCACTTAGTGCATTTTTGTTCATTTTCAGTGATTTTCACATATTTAGGGTTTTTTTTTTCCTATATTGGAAATATTTTCTTTTGCAATCAGATTTGCTGCCTTTACTCAAATCAGCAGCTCCAGCGACTTTCAATTGACCATTCTTGTTCGAGGTATTAGTTGAACCCTTTTCCTGTTATTTTCTAATCTAATTTGCTTACACATTAAGAAAATGTGTAAAGACATTTTCAATAGAAGATACAAGTAGAAGTAGCCACTGATACAAATGGTTGATTAATTGGTACTTGCTGCCTTTATTTTTCCATCCCCCATTTTTGAAGAGCTGCATTTTGAAGAAAAGATACCAAACAATATGGCACAATTTCTCAGTCAAATGTCTTTGGTAGCACAGACTCCATGTACCCCGTGGTAAAGAGTGGGCTTATGAGCACACTGAGCCCCACATAGCTGTGTTTTTCTGCCAAGGCTGCTCACCATAACTCCAGCTATTGCTCAGACTCAGTATTCACTGTGTTCTCTGAAGCAGCCACTAAGGACCTGCTCAGCCCCAAGCCATCCTGGGCCAATATTTATGTGCCCATCGGTGCTCAGATACTTCCCCCCAGGAGATTGCTTGTAGCTGTGGCCACCTCTTAGCATGGACTTGAGCATTATGATGTGGCTGGCTTTAGGAGAGAACATGTACTTGCCTCTAAATGACAAAATACATGACCTCTGAGTCCTGCCGTCACCCTTAGCCCTGGCTGTCACCCACCCTAGAAGGAACACAATTTGTTTTGTCACAAGTATCATGGAGAACTCGATTGGTGCCTTTCTGCTTATCACTTGCCTGATCTCCAGCTGTGGAAGTCTGTCAGGATTTGCTACACTAGTAGCAAATCTGTCAGCTGCTTCAATGCCATCTGCAGGTACTGCAGGATTTCTCCTCAGATCAGGAAAGTGAAAGTCCAGCTAGATTAGCTTCTGTTTTCTTTGATGGTGCCTATGATGTTTATCTTCAGATAAGTTTGGGGGTGTGGGAGCCCTTTCTGATATTTAATGTTGAGAAATTTTAGAAGTAATGTATATTACTTGCCTTAAATGGAGTTTAGTTTTATTGCACATGTGGCATTTGAGTTTCAAATATGGAACTTTGAAGCATGTTTATTTTACTAAGATTGGGATATTTTTCTTAATCATGATGAACTCTTTGTATGGATATAATATGTCAAGAAACTTCAAAGAAATGCAAGAATTAATGGTGTTCTGTTGTAACATTTCCAAGTACTAAGCATCTCTGTAGATTATTGTCCTTTCCTGTACTTTGCTCTTATATTGAGTTATTTCAGCTAAAATACCTATTGCTTCCATGGAAGTCTTACTGATTTTTAGTTTTTGTGCTGGCGTCATCTGTGTCGTCTGATGAGCACACTGAGCCTTAATTTCTGGTGGTGTCACAGGATGAGTGGATTAAAGGGTTTGGCCTTCTCTCCATAGGGTTTCTTGCAGCTCTACTATTTTAGTGAGGTTATTTAGAATACTCCTGTGCAGGCTATTTGCTCTATAGGGTTGCTGCTGATTGGATGTCTGAATGTGGGACAGTGACAACAAATCTAAGGGCCTGGTCTGCAAAAGTGCATGTGACTTTAGGTCTGGTCCAGTTAAGCATATGCACCACTTTAAGAACCGGAATAGTCTTAGGCATATAACACTGAGAGTCAAAGATGCTCTGTGTGTTTTGGATGGGACCAGAGGAGACTGTCCTTTTTTGCAGTTCCATGAAATACACTGACTTATTTTAATCTGCTGTGAAAGGCCAGGAACATGCAGGCTTCTTTAGCCATAGCAACATCCAGGTTCAATTTTGGAACAGTAAGAAGTCATTCTGTACAAATCCAGAAGGATTATGTCTGGAGGAAGAAGTTTGCTTACAGAGGCTTCTGAATCAGTAAGAGTTCATACAGCAATGGGAATGGATGCAAAGGAACTGTGTATTGCTGGTGGGCTTGACAAATCCAGAACAACCTCTAAGATTCTCACAGAGAGCAAGATCATACAGAGCCCTTGGCCTTAAACCTTTATAGTATGGCATGGTGGCATGAGTGTCAGATAAGAACAAAGCATATGCAGAGGTTCCAGTGTGGTCAAAAGCCAGACATAGTCCTTCCTGTCACATGGCAGGATACCCAAACCCCTTGTTTGCCTATTTCTTTTGTTCAAATACCAGAGCTCCAAAGGAAGAGATTATAGTGAACAGAAGACCTTAGGTAAAGGAGGTTAAGAGGATCAAGCCCTAAGTGTAGATACAAACATATATGTATATACTGTAAATCTAAATAGTAATAAAAGTCACTCAGCATGAAGGGTATTACTAGTGCCTACCATTGATCATCAAGTACTCATCACTGAGCAGCCATATCACCTAAGAAGTGCAGTAGCTGTTGTCAAAATAATTTGTGTAGCTAATTAATTTATATGAAATGCACCTTTGGGACTGTGCCATAGTATCTTTTTGTAATACAAATGTTCAACCATTTTTCATGGCTACTGATTCAAATCAGAAATGTCAGGATATCTTTTCTTCCCCAGATGAGGACATAAACTTAGACCTGGCTAATCTGTACTTAGTTTATCTACCCAAGAGACTTTAGTAGTCACCAGCCTTAACGCATGTACAGTATATGCTATTCACTGGCTTAGTTGTAGGTTTTCATCCAAATGAAATTGGAATTTTCAAAATTACTTGGATTAATGACATCTGCCTAGATATCCCCCCGATGTGACATTAAATGATTCATGATTTTAAGCAGAAAAGTTTGAATTTTATGTAAATAACAGTGGATTAATTCCTTGATCTTTTTACAAAATGATTTTTTTTAAATGAAAAGATTGTCAAAGCAATAGGCTTTTTTTATTCTCCTAAATTTTTGGCAGGTCGTGGGTTCATGGTAAAAGCTATATTAAGAACATCTCCTTCTGCAATATGCCTTGTCTTTACATAATCCTCTTAATGCTTAATATGTCAGAAAGAAATGTTTCTTGTTCACAGCGATGGCAACGTTTCCCTCCCCCATTCAGTGAGAATCCTCAAACTTAAGAATAAAATTTCCTGGCACAATAGAAATATAAACAATGCCTGAAGTATACAGACTTGTTAAGGTAACAACAAGTTACCTTAGGCGCAGACCTAACATGCCTCTCATTTTTTTAATCTTTTTGTTATCATTTACACCACATATTTGACCTTACTGTGTTTGAAACTAAATAATTAGTTTAGTTTTCATGTCTTAAAAATTCCTGGTTGGTCTGATCAGTATCATTATTTTAACTGTTATATTAGGTTATGTGCTGTGCACCAAAGGCTGGGGAGGCATATAACCATAGATAGATTTTCAGAATGCATTTAGAAAAGCATTTCGATAATCTTATCCAATATCGTTAGCATGAAAATTCAGCTACTTTAGCATCTCTCACAAAGATGTTGTTTGCCCTCAAAAAGGCCAAGCCTCCATTTCCCGTCTCACTAGCCCCATGCTATAAATAGCTATTAAGTTTAATTAACAAACTGGGAAAGTCACTTTAGGTCTTGTTTGTGCTAACCTGACTAAAGCTTCAGAGAGGAAAACACTAAGATTTAGAGCATCCATTGGTCTTTCAAAAGACTATGGTTTTCCTTGAGTGAGATGGGTGAGACTAAGCTGGGGCTATTTCTTCAAGTAATTCCTCTGCCTCCCTTGCTGTCTAGCCCTGTTGCTCTTGGCAGCCCACAAGCACGCCTGACTTTCAGGGGTGTTTCCCACTTTGCAGCCCAAGCTACCTTTCCAATGGGATGCTGGAACATGGAGCAAGTAACTCACAGGTTGGATAAAGGGCCTGGCTTTTGCCCCCAAAACCAGCAACCAGCTCCTTCAGTTTTGCAATTGTGTAGCTTGAATTTCACACACTGCAGCTTGAAGCCCAGCCTTATCCCTGTTGCCCTCAAAGAATTCAAGAAGGCCCAAGAAAAACAACAGAATTGGGGGGGGGGGGGGGGGGGGGGGGGGGGGGAAAGGGGGATTTCCTCTGTCTCAAGGCATTTAGTAGTTTTTGAGAGCAAATACAGTGAACATCATGAATGATAAGGCACTCAGGTCTCATGTTTCTCATATGCACTAACACAGGGATACTTAACATTTATCTGCCTCATAGGGCTTTATGAGAATTAATTAATGTTTGCAAATCACTTTGTATCCTCAGAAGGAAAGTGCTGTTGAAGAGCTATGGAAAAAACAGCTAAGTACACTGGATGAATTTCACCCCTGAGTCCAGAGCTACAAGACACACAAAATCCTTAAATACTATGTAAGCTCTTGGTGTAAGCACCAGAGTGTATAAAACTTGTGCTTAGATCCAAAGGGTGTCACAGTCTAGGTGAAATTGCCATTCCCAGAGTATCTATGACTTTGATCCTGGCAGAGAGCAAGAATCACAATAGTACATAACGGGACAAACAGCATAAATTAACAAAGTGCTGCATGGCCATCCTAAGAGTGTCAAATCTTTTAATGTCTTTCAGTCACTTTGTATTTCTGCAAAAGAAATTTATACAAAGCATGTTCCTTAAAACAGCCTCAAGCATACAAATAATTTTTAATCCAAATCCAGCTTCACATAACTTCAAATCAATGGAAATTTTCTTTTAGCATGGTGCACTGCAGATAACAAGTTGTTTAACAAAACATTTTTTAAAAAATTCTCTTGTGACAAAATATATGTCTGATTTTGATGCACATTACCAGTAACCAAAGTGGGAAGTCAGAGATTGGTTGGGAACACAATGTTCTCCCACTCTGTGTGGGAGTGACCTTCCCAATCACACCATTGTGTATCTCCAGGGCAGGCTTCCAGCTCTGTTCTGACACATTACCCCTAGAAGTTACCAGTAAAGCGCTGCACCAAGGACTGAACATCAGTCAAATCAACAAAGTATTTCTAATGTGGTTCATGTTACTCAGTCAATACTAACAAGTCCTTTCTTTGCAGTAGTTATCCTTTTCTCCTCCACTTGGCATTCTTATATATGGAATTCTCTGTCAACAGACATGAAAGAAAACATTTCCTGCAGGAACAAGCTAGACATAGATAACATTTACCAAAGGACAGGCCCTTCTTATTCTTTTTCTCACTTACATTTTAGACTATACCTCTATTTTTAAAATAGTATTTTCCTGCAGTTTAGATTTATCACAGAATCATAGAAGGGCTTGGGTTGGAAGGGACTTTGAAGATCATCTAGTTCCAACTCCACTGCAGTGGGCAGGGACACTTTTCACTAGACCAGGTTATTCAAAGCTTCATCCAGTCCAGCCTTGAACACTTCCAGGGATGGGGCATCCACAGCTTCTCAGAGCAACATGTTCCTATGTCAAACGATACTCAGTGTAAACAATTTCTTCCTTAGATCTAAATTTCCTCTCTTTCAGTTGAAAAATGTTTCCCCCTGTCCCATCACTACAGGCCCTAGTAAAGTCTTTCTCCATCCTTCTTATAAATCCCCATTTTGTACAGAAAGTTGACAGCCACAGTAAGATCTCCCCAGAACCTGCTCTTCTCCAGGGTGAACCCCAGCTCTCACAGCCTGTCTTCATAGGAGACGTGCCCCATCCCTCTGATCATCTTCACAGCTTCCCCTGAACCTGCTCCAACAGGTCCATGTCCTTCCTCTACTGGAAACCCCAGATCTGGACACTGAACTCCAGGTGGGCTCTCACAACAGCAGAGTAGAGGAGAGAATCACCTCCCTCAAACAGCTGGTCATGCCTTTTTAGCCTTCTGGATTGCAAGGGCACGTGTCTGGCTCATGTTCAGCCTATCATCTGCCAGCACCCCCAGGTCCTTCTCGGCAGGACTGCTCTCAATCAGTACATCCCTCATCTGTATTGATACTGGGGCTTGGACAAACACAGGAACAGGACCATGTTATTGACCTTGATGGGCCTCATGAGGCTCACATGAGGGTCTTCTCTCTCTCAAGGTCCCTCTGGATGCTGAGGTCACTTCCTGCAGTTCTAGACATTTTCTTCCTCAACTCCATCTCCAGTCTTGCAACATGCAGGACAAGGTAGAGTAGAAACTGGTCACAGGAAAAAGGTGAAAGGCAGTGCAGAGCTCTCAAGCAGTTCAGGACCTTCCTGCTTTCTTTCCATCTGTGGGACTGGCATCTACCTTCTCCCCTTATTTCTAGCAAGAGAATTCAGTTTCCTGTGGAGGAAGGACAGTGAGTACTGATGAGTCCATGCACATTTTTTGACATGTCTTCTGCTCAGCATGGAAAGGCAAATGGGAAGGACCAGTAATCTGGGGACCAAGAGCCCTTAGTGCTGGTGACTCAAATACCTTGTGTGAAACAGCAGTGCAGCTGGAGGGGTGCCAGCAGCATCTCCTGGCCCAATGCCTTGGCCTGACTTGTGCTACCAATCCACTTGAGTGAGCTTTGGCACTTCATGGCCCTGCAGTAGAACCAGCAGGAGCTGGTGGTCTCACCTGTACAATGACCTTCCTTAGGCCATGGAGGATACACAGTCAGCCTCGTAACAATTCACTGGGATTAAATAGGAAAAGAAGATGAAATGAGATAGTAAAAGGATTCTGATTTAAACACAGAAGTTGGAAATCACGTCATCCTGAAGGTCTAAAATAAATACAATTAATCTCACCCTAGAAATTCTTATCTCCACTGGCTAAAAAGGGATTTTAGGTAACAAGCTGAGATACAGAGGTAGTATAAATCCCATCCCAGGTTTACGATCATACCTGTTGCTGACAGGAATGCCTCACGAAATTGGTAAATATCTTAGGATGCACTGAGGCAGGATGGGGCTGAGATTATGTTGGGAGGGAGCACATGTGCAGGAAAATAGGTATGTGGTAAATACATTTCTTTCTCAGATGTTTCAAGTACATGTTTCAGACTAGGACCACCTCTTGACCAGTCTGTAATTTACTAGGCCTAAATCCAAAGTAGATCCTTGAGAACTGAATGTGCACCTTTTTCTATTAAGATTACTGAAATATCAAGAAAATACATCTTACAGCTTACTAAATTATTGCAGGCACTTTTTCCTTATGTTGCCTGGAAGTAGAACTGGACTCCTTTAAAAACAGATGAAGTTTTTCTGTAAATGTTGAAAGAGATGAGATTGGCTGTGAGCCTAAGTGGGGCCACCAGCATTACTCTCTTTTTTATGGAAATTCAACAGCATTTTTCAATTCATTATGTGAAAATGGAAATTTTATCCATGATGAACAGCCCATAGGCCACATGGGGCACACCTAAAGCTCGTGGCCTGCCAGCAGACAGTAGTCCCACAGCAGCTCCTAGGGCTGGCTTCCCTTGCTGTTGGTGGAGGCAGAAAGAGCAGTGGTGTGTTGGGAGCTCCAGAGCAGCCAGGTCAAGGTGGGCTTGCAGTGCCATTGTCTCTTTCCATGGATGGCAACAGGAGGGGCAGGAGCCAAAGCAGAGGAGCCAGGCAGTGAGAACTGCTCTCTGGGCAGTGATCTCTGGTACTACTGTGCAGGAGCATTGTTCCTTGCTGACGCTGGGAGATGGAGACAATAGCCAGAGTAATAAATCATGGCTGCACTCACATACTGCTTTTGGCAACTCCCTGACTTCCTGGGCAGATCATTTATGGAAACCTGGACTGCAGTGGTGCCTGCTGGCCAGTGCCATGTTGCATCCTCCTGCAGATCCATGGAGTTGCCACCAGGCAGAAGTCAAAACCAAACCACACTGTGAATGGGTGAGGGAAACAATTGGGTGGGGATGGCAGTACAGGGTGGGCAAAATAACAGGAGGCTTATATGTGTCATTACTTCTCCTGCCAGTTGCAACAATCACAGGGTTCCCTCCCCATTTCCCATGCTGCACGTACCACCAGTGGCTGAAAAAGCAGTGTGGCAATCCCAGTGTGGGATCAGCTGTTGGCTGGTAGCGCAGACAGCACACAACAAGGAACTGCACGTTGTGACTCTTCCCTATCTCCCTTTTCACACAGTGAACTCCTGAGCGAGGTTCCCTGGCCAGGTGAGGTATGCAGAGACCAGTTTATGACTAGAATTGTTTTTGTAACAAACCACAGAGGTTCATTTCCATATTTCATTTATAGCAACAAACGTCAGCAGATTTTTTGTAAAATTATTCAAGTCGCAACAGCTTTGTTTGCAGCTCATAAAATAATGCTCATGTTGCTCTCTGAGGATGTACTACCCACCCTGCTGCAGCAGTTTATCTTTCTGCTGACCATAATCCCACAATATGTCCCCATACAGCAGGCAATATTGTTTACACAGGTTAATAAACGGAGTATTCTGTACAGTAATTTATGCTGTAAAGTATGTACATATATCACAGTAGCAGTCACAAATGCTTTAAACTGCCTTATTTATTAGATTGGCTAGCATTTCCCCCCTTGCTCCAGAATACTTTAAATTATTTTTATCTTTGCATTAGGTATTTTTTTAGTTGCTGCATTTTGACCCAATTATTGGAAAAAAAAGTTTTTACAATAAATAAATATCTAAAATTTAAGTAGAAATAGCAAATTCACTGCCCATCCAACTAATATAGCTCTAATTATGATTACAAAGAAATATGGTATACTCTTATCTGTGTATCATAGTATATGCCAGAAATCATATTCCACTTGTAATCAATACAAACAAGAGCTTTAGTAACTTTCACCTATTTCATTCTTCCATTGTGAGACAAAAATATAATAAACTACTTAATGTAAAATGTCCCCCGTGAGAGCCCTGGTCTTATTCTTCCCTCAGGCAAAACTCACTTTGGCTTCAGTGGGAGATTTGCCTAAGTACAACATAGGGACATTACAAAAATAAATATATGGCATATAAACAGTACTTGTGCTTTGTAGTCGGTCCTTTTCTCTTTAGTGAGATACATAGGGTAAATGCTACATCTGTATTGCTCCTGTCTCACTCCTTCCCTTCTGCTGTATGAGTAAAAAATTGGGATTTAAAACCAGTTGTATTTGTTCCATTTGCTCAAAAAAAAAAATATATAATTATTTTGTGGATCAGTTCCAAGCCAAACTAGAAAATAAAAGAAAATGTTGCTTTTGTTTCTTTTCATGTTAAATTATGTTACACAATTAAATGGGATAATGCATACAAAGGCAATGAAATTATTAATTATTTGTTTTACTGTTTGGAGATTTTGCTATGTCCACAGTTCATGTAAAACTCATGTAGCACAGTTTCTGGGATGGTGAAAAATCCTACTGTAATGTAACAGAATGAGCCTTAAGGATTTGTAAGAATAAGCACTTTTATATTAAAAAGCAAATATTAATTCATCAGTAATATTACTTTTTTAATGTGACAATAAACCACGAAATCAACATCCTTCTGTCTCAATTATGCCTCATCTGTTTCTTTCTTAAACCTTTTTCCAAGGGAAGCAATTGCCTGGTTTTTTATCACAGCTTTTTAATCCCATCACAGTCACCTGTGTTCCTGCCTAAGTCACACACCCTCATCCACACTTCCTTCACGGGTGAGCTCATGAAATCTTCGTACAAGGAAGGAGAAAAGGCTCTTTCATTACAGCACATCTCCATAGCAAGGCACCAGTTTTAACTGGGGTGTATGGCAGAAAAAAAGAATTATGTGAAAAGAGGCAGCTCTCTGGGAAAAGGAGAGCAGTCACTGCTGCATTTTAGTGAGGCACCAGATGAACACATCACCAATCTGTATTTCTCTTTATGCAGATGTAGGAAACAAGCCCCTCTACTTAAGACCAGTAACATCTGTAAGTAGTGCCAAAGCCAGCCACAATTTCAGCAGTTGCAGAGCAGGAGTTCACAATTTACAGCCACAATTATAATAAAACCACAAGAAATACAAGTCACCCTCCAGCCTGCCTTCCCGTGTCCTCACACACACACACACACACACACAGTGTTGACAACTATTTCCCAATTCCTATGGCTTCTTCCCACACAGGACTGCCATCTTTTAGGAGTACTTATTCCATACTTAGGCCAAAACCTAAATGCTGCTGTTTTAACACGGCTATTTTGCAAGTGGTGGAGTCTTGTGGTTCTTTTCTGCACGATCAATATCTGTGGAGTCAAGGGTTAGACATTTTCATGCTTCTTGCTGAGGAAGATGTATTTTTCCAGGCAGCATCTGACAGCCAGGGCAGGTACTGGTGGAACATCTCAGGTTCAGCACAGAAAAAATGACCAAACAATGTTCTGCACTTTGATGAGTCACCACCATACACAAATCCATGCATTCAATGGACTGTAACCATGACAGGCTGATGCACAGCTTCACAGCTATATGGAGAGCTTTGGTCCTGAGGATGGAGAATGGATTTCAGGAAATGAATATGACTCAGGATGGGCTGACACATGGCATTGCTGCTCCTGATCACTGCCAGGAGACTGCTGCTGGGACAGAAAAGCCGGCAAAGGATGGTGTGCCCAGGCACTGCCTGCAGCATCGAAGGATGGGAGATCACTTCCCCAGGCACCGCCTGCAGCAGCTGAGGATCTGATGAACCACACACAGAGGGACAGTTCCCCATAGCTGTGTTTCCAAGCCCACCAAGGCTCAGAGTGAGCCCAATGCCATCTCCCAGTGATCGTTCAGTCCTACACACCAGATACGGTTCATTAACTTCTGCCAGTTAATGGAGCTCCTTGTTTTAGCACTGCTCCTTCCTCTGAACACCTCAGTGCTTGGCTCAAAATCCTGTAAAATATTTAGAATATGCAGAATTTTACCTCCTGGCTTGTTCCTCTTAAACTTCCTCTTCTCAGTGTAATTCAAGGTCAGGAAAGAAATTAGGCACCCCTGAGCTAAAGACCTGGAGGGCCCATTACAATGATCTAGTCTTACTTTCTAGGAAAACACAGGCCATAACATTTCATCAAGGGATTCCATTATGAAAGCCTAATAACTTGATGAAGAGAAGCCTAACCATTTATTAAGGCACCCAGTCTTGATTTAAAGACACAGAGCAATGAAAAATTTACCGCAGCTCTTCAACTCTTATTTGCTAAAAATTCTGCCCCAGTGTTTCACCTTGAATGGTATCAAAGCTAACTGCAAAGTTATAAGGAAAAAGAAATTAAAAAAGAAAATTCAAAACCTGAAGATGGGCTATGTGTTCTGAAAGAGGAAAAAATAGGGGAACACTTTGCATTTTAGGGGAATTTCTGTTCCAAATTTGAGGAATGTATGCATAGACAGTAGCATTTGCTATTCTGAAATAAATTAGTCTCTGATCTTGTTCACTGAACATGCAAATCCACAAGACAAAACACAAAAGGAAACATTGCAACAAGTCCAGCAGAAATGAAGGCCCAGTCATCATACTTCCACATTTGCATCAAGCTCACATTCACAATAACATGATTCTTACATTTCTTTAATTTAAAAGTAGGAACCAGCAGCACATCTTAATGTTCCTTAGCATGAAAGCCAGGCCACTGAACTGCCTGGATAGGGATTATTAACTTGAAATCTCCCATCCTATGAGGAATTACAAATCAGTAGAGATGCACTGTAACAGTGTCTTCTAGGACCATTATGCAACTGCTGACAAGTGTGAATTTTAACTGATTTGATATTCTGTAGTCATTTTTCAAACACCAGTGTTACAAATCAGCTGTAATAAGCTAAGGTTATGTATATCAAGAACTGTGACTTGAGAGCACATATGTCTACATGCAGTTTAAAATAATGGGGAACACAGTCCTATAGATACGATTTTTCTTTTCTTTTTTTTTTCCTGCTCCCTAGGCAAAAAAAATATTAGTCACACAGTGCTATGGACTGCTTATGATTTACAAATCCTTGCAGGTACGCAGGAGAATGAACACTAAGCACAAGGAGTATATCCATTTTGGAAAGCCACTAGGGAAAGCATACCCATCTTTAAAAGATTTCCCTGAGAGATATTCCCCAGCCCTCTCACTGCTGTCACGCTTCTCAAAAAGTACCAAAACCAAGCTTTTGTAGCCATGTCTACTTAATGGTTTAGGCTTTGTTAGAAGACACATCCTTTCAGGTTCCTGGGATCTGGATGACTTAAATGAACCTCCACTTGAGGGAAGAGGCCCTAAATCCAGGCAGACAGTAGTGCCTAAGCAGGGCAGTAATCTCCAGTCCCTTCTAAATTATCAGTACCTGATGCAGAGCCCCAGACAAGACCTTCCATCCAGCTGGATTAAAAAAAGTACATTGCTACAGGTGTTCCTCAGGGTACCAAGCAAACCTCTTAGGAAATGAGTGAACCAGGCCACAGTTCCAGGTTGGGAGGTTTTGATTTCTTGTTATGGGGTTTTCTTTGCAAGGTAACACAGCAGGTTTTTTGTTATGCCTTATCATGAACAAGCCCTCTCTCAGGAAGAGACCCCACTCCAAGCTCCCCATTGGGATCAAGTACCTATTTATAATACTGGTGTTTGAAAAATGAGCACAGAAAATCAAATCAGCAGAAACTCACACTCCCAAGACAGGTCCACAGTCCCAACACCAGCCACAATACAACCTCTGCCAAGGGCCTGTGTGACCTGTTCCACCACACCAAGTGTGATCCATCTTTATGTCATTCTTTCACATCAAACACTAGCAGCAGCTAGTAGGAAAAAATTAACTAGTCACTTAATGGTCCTTTAATATGATTAAGAGAATATTACTTAGTGGTATCCTAAACTCACTGATGAACCANAAAAAAAAAAAAAAAAAAAAAGAAAGAGGAAGCTAAGATTGATAAAAGTTCCTTAAACTGCAAGGATATAAAATGTAAATAGGGTGTCTGCTTCTGCAAGTGAAGACAACCTGGTCAGTCGGGATTCAGTGAATTTTTTTTATAGCTCTCTTCATGATGCTGAATGGACTAAAAGCTTAAAAACAGGTTTATATAAGTCAGACATAATTTGTTCTTGTTTCATCCGAACATATATTTTGACTGGGAAGGGATTTAAATATCTAAGCTTAGATCCTGTAACTACCTTGAGCTAATAGTTTCTAATCAAAACAAGGTACTCTTTGCTGTATATGAAGTTATTTGAGTTAAAACACTGCAAGAGTGAGGATTTAAGCTTAAACACTGTAAATGAGGTATACACGACAATTTATTTTGTATTGGCTGCTTTAGATCAGGCTCACAAAAATCATCATCATCATCCAGACAAAACCACAAGAAGAGGATAAAGCTGTCCTGTCTGTTTCCAAGCATAAGACAGGGGTAATTTGATAGCCACTTCACATGCTTTCATAAAGCTCCTGTAAAAGCATGAATAGGTGCTTTGAGACGACAGAAGGCAGTTGGAACGCTGAAAGCAATCCAAAATTCTCTTTTGATTATACGTTTATCATGCATGCTTTCTGAAAATTTTACACTAAAGAAACAGAAGTGACCCACCTGGGTTTGCTTCTTCAGTTCAGCTGTTCTATTCACCTTTCCATTTGCCTTACCAGTGCCAATTTAAAACATGTGGGTCAGGCACAACTGGCTCCTAATGAAGAGATGACATATGGATTACATTGCATTAATGAAAGTATTATTAAAGTAAGAAAAAGGTTTCACTAACAGTTTTCCTAATTTTAAGTAGTAAATTGTCCACCATCCTAGTAGCCCTCCCTAAAATAACCTGGACAGATCCTAATTCCACTACAGCTCTTTTTTGAGCAAGATTGCAGAAACAAAAGCTTTGTAGATTTCAGCACATAGTATCCCCACCTCAGCACTGAATCCCCTCAGCAGCATTTTCCCAGATAATACTCTTCAGATTACTCCTGAACATCATTCAGTCAACTTCCAATTCACTCACAACTTCCTACCTGTGAGAATTTATTAATTTCCAAAATTATGTATTAATATGAAAGACACCTTGGTTTATCTAGCCAACACAACAAAATAGCACTGTAATGTGAAGTAGGCTCAAAAAAATAAGAAACACCTGAAAGTAAATTCCTTTTTCTGCTTCCAGAATGCTTGGAGTTTTAGTTGCAAAAGACAGACAGGGCCCCCATACAAAAACCATGGCCCACAAGAGCTGCACGGGAGAGGAACCTTTAACACCAGAACTCTAAGAAAGCTTGCTGCACTGTCATAACAGGACAGGAAGATAAGCTATTTAACCGAGATGCAATTTAGTGCCTGGTGCCCCTGACAGCCCTGGAGATCACTGCCTAATGCTGAATGAATCATCTGTGACTTTCCAAGGAGCAATTCTCACAAGCAAGAAAGCACAGCCAGCAAATGAGTACCTCAATACCAGAGCATTTAGCACATATAGTCAAACAGGTGGTGAAGTAGTTATGGTTCTTTTGACATGGAAGACACAAATTTGCTTTAATAGAACTACTCTATATACCAACCTGGGCTGAGTGGGTTGTAAGGGATACAACTCCTGCTAAATATCAAGGGGAGCTCCACCTTCATTGTGCTGCTTGTGCATTCAGATCTGGGTACATCTTCCAGGCACAACATGGAATTCCAGATAATCCTGCCTTACTACCCTTCACTGCATCTGGGACACATTTGCAGAAAACTAGACTTTTAGGATGTTCTGAATGACTACAAAGAGGTAATAATAGGAAACCCTTAGATTGGCATGGAAAACCTCTTACTATGGAGACAGCACGGACAGTGTGGGCAATGCATATCAAATCTATTAATACATGAAAAGAAAGTCATAAATAGCTTAAGGATGGCATAAAAACAGACAGACAGTAAAAGGAAGTATTGAAAAGGCTTTTTCAATTAAGGGTAAGACCTGTCTTCTTGAAGTGGTAGAAAAAAGGGTCTAGGAAGGGGAGATAAGGTCAGGTTATCAGATAATGCAGTCTTTCTGTGTGGCAAGATATCTGCCAAATTAAATGAGACAGCATGAATGTTAGAGATGTCAGAGAGGAGCTGATTACAGTAATTAAGGTCTGAGGTGCTGAGCTCAGCACCAATTTCCTAAGAAACAGTACAGACAACTTAACCAAGACATCTGACCAGGGTACAGCTGCACCCCACACTGCTAACATGATATTCAGCTACTCAGCCACCACTGAATTCTCCTCTGGCATACTGTCCATGCCCCTCCCCAAGCAGAGAAGATCCTGGGAGACAAACAGAGATCAGAGAGTAAGAATGAGAATGAACGAGTTGAAGGTCAGAGGGTGTAAAGGTAGAGGCAGAGACTATCACCAGAAGAGATTGAAAGGAATGAGATTTGTTTATCTCAGAAAAGAGGCAGATAGGAAGGCACACAGTAAGATAAAATACCAAATATTCTAGAGAAGAAATATCTGACATTTTTCTCTAACTTGCTGCATAACACAAGAATAAAGGAACATTCAATGAAATGAAGACCTCACGCATTCAAAGCCAATCAAATGAAATTCTCTTTCACATAATGTGTAATTGGACAGTGGAAGATATCACCACAGGAAACACTGAGGTCAAGAACTGTGCAGGATTCAAAGAAGGATTGGATGGCTATATGGATCACAGGAATATTCAGTCAGAACAATTATGCTAAACTTTGGAAAAAGTAAAAAGACAGGCTTTCAGAATTTAAGCCAGTACCTGACTACAGAAGAATTGAAATTAGGTTTCTATAAGGGTAGATTTTCCCACATCTTTCTCAGAGGTCCTTCTGTCTTTGCAAGAAGTTGATGTTGTTCTCTTTAAGCCAGCAATTTGGTCTGCATAAACTACACAATTTCTATCTTCCCACTTCCATATAAGCTTTAGAGGCACTGAATAGCTTTGTGTAGCTGCAATAATGTCAACAAATTCAAACCCTCCTTTTTTCACAGCCATGATACCGCCATGGCACCACCTGCAGTTAATCAGCACAAGGTGTTTTTATCTCAATTTCCTTTAACAGAGTATGGTTACAACTGTGGAGCTGCAGCCTTGCAGACATGGAGTGACAGCATTCTCTACCACCCTCATCTCACCCCAGAGACAAGCTCAGTCTTGTCAGCTCCTTTTCACTGTCTTGCATTCCCTCTTACAGAAGAGACAAAACTTGATCAGGACCTGTGCTTAATCCAGTAGCAAGCTCTCTGTTGGAAGGCTTGTGTGAATGAACCTCTAATTTCCTGACCATTACCACAAATACTCTCTTCTCTGGCCATGGTGCTAAATGGACCAAGTTCCTGTCAATGTCCATGCAGTTAATCTGTATGCTCAAACCATGTCTACCAGCTTCAGGACCTCAGGACTCGGCAGGATATACAGTCTCCATCCAACTCCTGCTGCAGTGGCAGCAGTTCTGTATTTACACCTCAGCACAGGTCAGTAAATTTACTTCAAGTGCCTCTCTAATGCCTGCCCAACCATGCGCTATTTTTCTAGGCACAGATAGTTTCCTAGACAGGCATAGGCACCTGAAACCTATTTAATTGCAGTTTTAGTGTTTACATCCACTTTTGCAGGTATACCTGCTTCCAGTTTTTCCCTCCTTCCCTAGCCTGGTAAACTACCTGTTGACCTCAAATTCAACCTGTTGCTATCCCAGCTTTTCACAAATAGCAGCCCAACAATCTCTATCTTAACTAGACCTGAAGGAAGACAGGGCAACATTTACCTTCCCCTTACCCTTTTCTTCTCCTCTTTGAATGTGGTTTGGGGGAACCCACATTCAGTATGGCTCATATGCAAAGGTTGTTCATTCTATTAGTAGGCAGGTAAGTACAGCTTAGGAATCTGCACAAACAGAATCCAAATAAAAACAAACCCTGAAACCCTGGGGAGGGATTCTTCCCTCAAATGATTTTCCTACTTTTATCTGTCTTTACCTGTCCCCCTACTTGTACCACAGGACACCTCCATGCACTCTAATTGTGCATCATTCACTTGACTGAGTTATGTGTTCCTGAAGCTGTATTTCACTATAGCCAACTCCATGGAGTCAGAAGGTAACTGTCCTTTTCTTGTCCAGCAGTTTGTGAAGTTTCTGCTCTCTACTCAGTACCACTTCCTTAATTTTTATAATCTTGTATTACTACAAGTATTTTCTGGTATCTGTACTTATCATTACTGTAAATATAAAATCTCTTTAAGGTCTCTTTGACCCCTCAGAATGAGCCTCAGAACTTTGCCTCAGAACTGAAATCATTTAAACCATTAAGAGTTTAGTTGTTTTATAATGGACCTTTCTCCAAACATAACCTTCCTGAGACAGTGACCCATGCTCCATGCTGTAGTCTGAGGCCTAATAACCATTTTCCAGGGCACTGTATTGCCTCTTTGGTGGTGTGTTATAGCTCACTGTTCCATCGGTCTAGTGTCTTGTTTGCCTTTTTTATTGCAGCTGTGCACTGAAGTGACATTTCCTATGTGCTTTTTTTTCCACAGTAACCCCTTTCTCTCTCTGATCAGTGTGTTGAATGTAACACCCATTCCCTACATTTGCTCTTTGTTCCCCAACTAATTACGTTTCATTTTCTACACCAAGCAGCATTTGCCATCTGCTGGCTCATCAACTAAATGATCCAAATCCCTTTTGAATCTGCTTGCATTGCTCCTTATCATTTCTCTGTGCTTCCAGTTTTACATCCAACCAGTGGAGATTCCTTGCACACAGTGCTCAGCTGAGGCACAGTGGCAGAGAAATGGGAAACCACACGATCTTCTCATACCTAGGGTAGAGTATCCTGCCTGCATTTGCCACTTGCTGCATTCACATAAGAAAGAAGGGTTCCCCTCGGAAAAAATTAGGCTCACATATGCTTCAGCCTACTTAAGATAAAGTTTGGCTTTAAGCCCGGGCCCTGAGCTGGAGGACAGCTTCAGGAGCAAGGCAGTCTCTTCCACCAGGGATCCCAAGATGGGATGCAGCTTTCAGAGACCTCATCTGGTATGCCCCCACCAAGACACAGCACGTACTCCACTGCCCACCTCACAGCTCCCATAATGTGTCCTGGAAGTGGCACATTTGTCCACATCTCCTTTTTGTGTGTGCAAGGGCCTGCACATGGGGAAAGGGGAAAAGGAAAGAGGAGCATGGAAACAAGATGAGATTTCACTCATATATAAACCAGCACCATCATAGCCCTACAGGCAAAATTATTGATTTCCTCTCAGCCCAACAGGGCAATTTGTGAAAATCCAGCACAAAGACCTAATTGGGTCACCCAGTTGTGGCCTTATGGTACTTGAAGGGAGAATACAAAAAGATAGACAGAGACTATTTTCAGGGGCATGTAGTGACAGAACAAGGGGGAATGACTTCAAACTGAAAGAGAATAGGTTTAGATGAAATAGTAAGAATAAATTCTTTACTGTGGGGGTGGTGAGGCATTGAGACAGGTTGTCCAGAAAAGCTGTAGATTCCTGGGAACTCAAGACCAGTTAGATGAGGGACTGAGTAACCTGGTCTAGTGGAAGATGTTCCTGCCCATGGCAAGGGCGTTGGTACTAGATGATCTTTAAGGTCCCTTCCAACCCAGGCCATTCTATGATGATTTTATGAACTTGTTCTGAAATACCTCAGGA